TCCCATCATCTCACTCGGGATTCTGGTTTCGCAGGGGTGGGGAGGAAGGGGGAACACCTGAGATTTCTAGGAAAGGGCTAGAAAAAGGCTTTACTGGGGGTGGGAAAGAAATGAAGGGTTTTCACATGAGGAAAAGGTGTTTAAAGAGCAGATCAGCCAGGTGAGGAGGCCGGGGGGTGGAGGGGGACAAGCAGGGGTCTGGTGGGACCTGCAGTGGTATGTGGGGTGAGGGCAACGAATGGGGGGGAGAGGCTGACACTGAAGCAACATATGGGGGGGGGGGGGGCTGGAGTTATGCATGCGGTGGGGTCCAGCGGTGCCCGGGATGGGGGGCACAGGGTTGGGTGGGGTGGGGAGCGAAGGATGCGCAAGGAGGCAGCGGGGGCCCGGCGCGGCGGTGTGGGGCGGTGAGGGGGGGGGTGGTGCTGCAGCAGATGGGGAGCGGTGCTTGGGGAAGGGGAGCAGGGGGCAGCCCGCGGGGGTCCCGGGAGGGGTGTGGGGGGATGCGGCCGGTACCTGAAATTGGGGGGCGAGGCGAGGTGCAGCCCCAGGAACGGGGAGGAGGCGGGCGGGGATGCGGCTCCTTTCTCTCGCTCCGCCATTCTGTGGCTCTCTCCATGCAGGCGGAGGGCGGGCGGGAGGGAGGGAGGCAGGGAAGGAGGGAGGGGGATGCTGTGGTGCCGGCGGGGAGGGACATACCTGCCGCCGGGGAGAGGGGGGGGCGCGGGGCGCGGCTGGGGGGGCTCCTTCCGCGGCCCCCAGCGGCAGCTGCAGGACAGATGTGGCCGCAGCTGGAGGCGACAACCCGCATCCCCCCCCCGCCCAGGCCATGGGAAACGGCGGGGCAGATGTGTCCGCAGCTGGAATGACACCCCCCCCCCCCCCCGGCTGTGTCCGCAGCTGGAGGCACAGCCCCGCAGGCAGATGTGCTTCAGCGGACCCACTGCAGCCGGGGCGGGGGGCGGCCGGGTCTCCCCCAGGCACGGGCTGGACACTCAGGGCCGCTGTCGAGGGTCTCCTCCGCAGCGGGGACGTGCCCGAGGCGGGAGGTGCAGAGCGAAACCCGGGCTGCGCTCTCCCCCCATCGCGGGTTGGCAGCACCCCGCTGGCAACAGGTCTGGAGCCCCGGCACAGACCCTGTCCCTGAGGAAGCTTGTCAGGGCGGCGAGCACAGCGAGGGGAAGTGGAAAAGCAGCTTAAACACACGTTCTACAGGCATGAGGCAGGGAAAAGCACGTCTCGAGGTTGCAGGTCTCTTCCCAGAACAGGCGTCCAGCGATGCCCCAGGGAGCATCTCATCTTGGGTGAATGTTCTCTGCTGCTACCCTTCCGCCCCAGGTTTCCCTCCCCTGCCTCTCCTCCACATCCTTTGCAGGCAGAAGAGAGTACAGGTTGTGCTGTGCACAGGAATAGGTAACATTGGTATTTTTAGGTGCCAAGGCCACTTCTTGTGCCTGAACAGGAGAATGTTTTGTACTCCCTCCATGCCCACCCTACTCCTGCGGCAGTTCTGGATAGGGAGCAGGGCACTGCTTTAGCACAGTTTAAAGACAGCAGATCACACCAGTGTTTCTCAAAGCACAGAGCTGTCATTGAGCAATCGTATTAGTCGTTGGCCAAGACCCAGGCCGTCAGCTGGTCCTCCAGAGGAGAGCAAGCAGAGCCCTCCAAGGCACACAGCCCTGCTCTCTCTCAGAGCCTTGGTCTCCTGCCAGACTAGCTTGAAAGAGACGTTAGGCCTGGGTCAGGGTGGAAACAAGCACACACCACAGGGTCACCACACACAGCACCCGGGGCAGCATCCTGGGTGGGGGTGAGGTGTCCCCTGTGCAGTTTGGACACATACAGTGAACTGTCTTGCATGCAGGACTCAAGAGACACACCAGTGCTCCTCCAGGGCTCTGACACAGCTCCATCTCGAAGCATAAACCCTGGCTACCATGATTCCTCTGCAGCCTCCCCTGTGCTTTGGCTTCTGAGCTGGGGCAGAAGCTGAAGGCAGAAGCCTTAAGGCTGCCTCCTCCCCCTGCAGCCACATCACCACCAATGCATCTTATCCTCTGCTGGGACACCAAGAGCTCCCCCCAGCTTGGTCATCAGGCCTCTCATCCCAGCCCTGGCCTGCCAGGAGCCCCATTTTGGCCTTTCTGGCTGCACTATCACTGGTCACATCCATCTCCTTATGTGCACAGCAGAGCCCATGGGCTCTGTGAGAGCGCATGCCCATGTCCTGCAGAGACCACACTTCTGTCCTAGCCCCCACCTCTGCTCACAAGGCATCTCCCGGCTTTAAGGCATCTCCCATCTTATTTGTCTCTTTCAAACTGTCCAACTGAACATCAAGTTCACTTCATAGAAACTATTCTCAGCCTTATGTTAAGTCTGAGGAGAGATTATATGTGCAGAGAGGTTTTCCTGCTTCTCCCCACCTGTTGAACCTCCTCATCTCACCCTAGACGCAGCTGTGATACCAGACCAGCACTCTGCTCTCTCCATCAGCCATCCTGCTCACTGCTCCAGTTTCCCCTCCATAGCTCCAGCTCCCATCTCTTCACATCCAGGTGTGTTTTCCACTTCCAAACCTTTCCCCTAACCCCTCCCAAAGCTGCTCCAGCTCCTTCTTTGTGCAGACAGAAGAGAACAAGGGGGATTTTCCCCAACCACTGGCACAGGCAGCAGGCCATCTCCCTCTGCTAGAAATCCAAGGTTAGCCAGTTTCCATCCTTAGCTACATCACCGGCATTCCTTTGACAGGGAGAACAGATGTTCTGGCCAGTGCAGGCTGCTTCAAACCCAACCTCTCCAGGTCTATTTGACGTTACTACACTCCAGGTAGGGAAAGCAAGACTGAGTTTGCCATCATCCTGCCTCTCCATCTTCCATAGCACTGGCTGCTATTTTCAAATGGCTTTTTGTCATGCACGAGCCACTTGAAGCACTGAAGTGTTACTTCCTCAAGCCCACAAGGTCCTTGCCATTGATAAGACAACAGCTCAGCAACAGCAAGAGCCTTGACCCAGCCCCACTCAGTTAACCAGCGCACTGCACACATTGCATTCTCACAGACAAGACATACTCTTTTATCTCCAGCACCTCTTTGAAACACCTGAACTTACCTGAACTCCAAAACCTCCCTTTTGCATCTCAAACTTGCCCAGCAAAACAGACTCCAAATTTTCAATGCTTATGTACATGAAGTACTTTTAAGCTGCGTCTTGGCTTTGTTAGATGTTTGCAATAACCACTTAGCTGGTCTTTAGACTGATGCTACCTGGACATACCCAGCTGAGGCTCTCGTGCTGCTGTTCTGGATCAGACCCATTGACAAACCTGGACAAGAAACTGCAGGACAATTCGCACTTCCTAAAGTCTTGCTGGGTGCCAAGAAAGTAACATACCTCAGGTAATTCTCCAAAGAGAAAAAAATAGGGTTCAGTAACTGCGTCTACACACAGGAGCACCAAGGAGGATGGCAGGAAGCACAAGCAGGACTTCACTCCAACTGTGTCCTAGCTAGTTACTAGACTGCTAAGTCATGGTGTTTTTAGTATCAGTTCGTGAATTAGCTTAAGAACTGCAAGAGAAAAAGCTTAATTGCTGACAAACCTGTCCTGGTTTTAGATGGGATGGAGTTAATTTTCTTCCTAGAAGCTCGTGCAGTGCTGTTTTGGCTTTAGCCTGAAGATAACATTGGTAACGCACCGACGGTTTAGTTGTTGCTCAATAGCACTTACCCCGATCGAGGACTTCTCAGTCTCCCATGTTCTACCAGTGAGGAGGGGCACAAGAAGCCGTGAGGAAGCACAGCCAGGACACCTGACCCGAACTAGCCAAAGGGATATTCCATACCACAGCACATCATGCCCAGTATGTAAACGGAGGTGGGAGGGGGGTGTTGGCTGGGAGCCACCAATCACTGCTTGAGATGGGCATTGGTCAATGGGCTGTGAGCAACTGTACTATGCACCACTTTTGTTCTCAGGGGGTGATGTTTATTCCTTCCTCTAATTATTATATTATTATATTTTACTTTTATTTCAATTATTAAGTTGTTCCTATCTCAACCCATATGTTTTACATGTGCTCTGATTCTCCTTTCCATCCCACTGGGGAGTGGAAGGGAGCGAGCAGCTGAGTGGTACTCAATGGCTGGCTGGTGTTAACACCAGTCATGACCCACAGCTTCACAGCACTCCCCCACTCCAGTGCTCACCCCCTCAGTTGAAAGGAGCCTCCACATCACCCTGGGAAACGTCCTGTACTCTCACTACTTCTCCCCCTTCCCAGGCAGAGCTCACACTGCCTGCTTCAGGTCAGACATTGCCACCTAGCCCTGAGACACAGAAAAAGGCCATTATCCCAGGAAATGGAAAGCCCCAGACTGGCATCCATTTCATGCCGCTTCCTCCATCTCAGCCTGCAGCAATCCTCTGCTCCTTCCTAAAACAAAGATGGTATCTTCACTAATGGTCCCTGGTGGCTTTTTCTCTCCCCATGATTTTCAACTGTCAGCAGCCACAACTAAGGAAAAGTTACTGCAAAAACTAATGAAGGTGCAGCCGTGTTCAAACTGCCAGCTTGTAGTGCAATGGCACATGCCCTGGCCTAAACGTTACAGAAAACAGTGAACGCTTGTCCCCCACTCATTTGTCACACAGTTCTACCCACCTTTATCCTTTCACCTGGGAAGTTCTCAGTGGATGAATCCCAGCCTATCTAACAGGCTTCCTGCAGGAAGCTTTCCCCTTGCCTTTGGCTGGTCTTATGTTTCTGTGTGTCCTTCCCCGTTCTACTACCCAAACTGCAGCTCTTCAGGTAACATCATCCACACCACAGGTGCTGACAGAAACCTTGCAAAAGGGATTCCCTCCAGATCTACAAAGCCTTCTAAGACATCACGTAAGAGATTCAGCCTCCCCTCCCTTTGCCTTCTTACCCCCCAGATCCAGTCCCAAGCATGCCACTTGCCAACTGAAATAATTTGGATGACAGCATAGAGCGGGTTAAAGACATTTATATATTTAAAAAAAAAATCATATTTACAGACCATTGCCCAAGCATGAGGCTCTGCAAAGGACAGAAGTCACAACTTCTGTAACCTAAGTGTACAAAGTGCACGTCTTCTCCCTTTCTTCTCTCTGCCGCAGAAGGGGTGTCTCTATTTCTTCACAACTTTCTACCCCCAAGACAATGGGAGTAAGGTCTGGGTCAGAGTGAAAGGGACAAAACTTGTTGAGTACTGGGTTTTCCACCAGGCAGGCTTTATGAATAGAAGTTTAGAAGAAAGTAAGAGCAGGAAAAGTATTTACTTGGTCAATCTGCTCAATGGATTCCCTTGCAAAAAGGAATCTAGGGTCAATGCCCCAGGGAGATGAGTGGGAAGGAAAGGTTATTCAGCTATTCACTAAGTTAACTCACAGACCCAATTCAACCACTTCAGCTTTCCCAGACGCATTTGAGTCACTTTCTATTTGCAGCCCCATTGCTCTGGGCTCAAACATGGGCTCCAAAATGGAATTTGATTATCCCAGTCGGAGTAGGAGATAACTCCTGTGCTCCCCAAGCTGTTCACTGAGCAATTCACATATAGTCCCATGTTATCTGTTCCAGGCAGGGATGAAAAGTTTTGGACAGCAAATGAAAACAGTGCCAACAGCAGCCCATTGCATAAGACCAGCTACTTGATCTACTCCCTCTTTAGAACAGCCAGAAGACAGGCTCTTCGGCAGTACTACCCTCCCTTCCCCTCTCAGATGGGAAGGCAAGTAGAGGTGCTCTTCCAGCACTGTCTTGAAGTGACATGTAACAGGATTGGGCCAAGGAGTGTATGGTTAAGAGCCAGGAAAGCTACACAATCGTCCTGCTTGACTACAAAGCACCAGCATGAATGCGTATGGCCATAAGGAGCAGTGTGCAGGGCAAGAGGGACTGAAGTATACTGTGTAGAAACCTGAAACACAGATGCCAGTGCAGGAAAGAGAAAACAGAATGGACACCCAGAATGGATAAGGGACTAAAACTGACGAAGACTCACTTCAAGGAGCTGATGTGTAACACATCCCCTATCAGTACGAGGCACTCACAGGCTACACACCATGGTTGCTCCATCTGAGAGAGCTCTTGCTCAGGGAAGGAAATGCTCTAGAATACAGGGGCACAGATGTTGCTTCCTTTTATCTGGACCAGCAAGCTTCTGGGAAACTACTTTACTCCTATCAAGCCATGTTCTTATTCTCTCAAGAATTTCTCCTCTCAGACTCCCTCCCACCCAATGTCAAAGTGCTCTGAAGCTGCTCCTTCCAGACAACAGCCCATGTTGCAGCAGCGAGATTCTTCTGCAGGGAGAGTTTTAAGTGCTGTTCAAGAGTACAGACAGTTTGGTTCCCTTTGTTCTTGTGCTACAGTTGTCCTTCATTTTCTTTCCATCCCATGAGTACCACCTTGATTTACTCAGAAAGCATTTACATCTCCGCCAGTCTAGACTAATGAAAGAAAACCTGAGTTTCTCCTGCTCTCTCGTAGGATGGGTACTCTATTTTTAACACTGTAGCAGCTTCCTTCTCAACTCCTACTATAATTTGAATTAATCAGCGCCACTCACTGCCTAGTATTAGTGATGAGAAAGGACGTTCACTACTTGAGATGCGCAGATGCTGCTCCCTACATCAATGCATCAAGCCACTGTCAGAAAAGAAAGATACACCTGGGACTGCACAAGCTGATAGAAGACTCTCCCCACCTTAAATGTGGTCAGATTTTGGACATGGCTGAGGAGACATATTTGGCTCTCTGGAGACCAGAAAGCCAAATAGTCCCAAGCACAAGTAACGCAGTGCCTTTTTGTGGCAGCTATTGGAATTACACATTTATATGAAACCCCAGATTTTCTGTTGCGGATCACAAGTTCCAGTCCCTCCATGGCAGCAGTCCCTACTCCTCTGGTCACCTCTTCAGCACTCTCCCTCTTCACTTGCAAGGTGCTTGTTGCTGGCTGTAGGAAAAAGCAAAAGAGAGAATTTGCCTCAAACTCACTTTTCATCCCGGGAAGTTGGCAGAATATGCAGCCAGTTCCTTCCCTCCTGGAAGCATTTCAGGAAGATGACTGGACCTGCTTGCTCTCCTCCTGTAGCCTGTACCCTTGCCACATGGGCAAACCTGGCTGCAAACCTACCCTGTGGAAGGAGAAGCAGCCTCACTAGAGCAAACCGAAGAACTGCTCTGTGACTGTTCCAGCAATAGGGTACTGCTCTCTGCTGGACAACTGAGTTAACAGCTTGTCAAGCAAAAGCAAAACAACCGGAGGGCAGCCCACTGCCAAATTGCAGGGCTATGGAATATACAGTCAGCAGCCACCTCCCTCCATAAGCAAGTCCATTTTGCTCATTAAAATGCAGGGAGCAAATGGACTGAGCCTTGCTATCTGCCAAAACAAGGCAGTTTAAGCCAGACCACACTGGGGACTACTCACAGTCATAAACTCTTGCCAGGGACCTCTGGAGCGGGGAGACCTGTCACTTTGGCTCGTTTGAACAGTTCTTCAGTGCACGGCTCTTCTGCTCCCTCGTGTTTGCGCTTTGGAGAAGCCTGGTCTGCTTGCGACAGCCTCACTGCTGTAGAACAAGAAGAGTCATTGCAACAGTTCCCCTGCCTTTAAATCTCATGAGTACACCCTAGCCTAACCTGTCACAGAGGTGGGAGAAAGAACATGCAGCGTACAAGCACAGACACGTTGCAGCAACCTCCTTGAAAACTGTTGAAAGACCTTTGTTAAAAGAAGAATCAAGTCCCCCAGAACACACACAAAAGTATTTTCCTTTGCTGGAGAACAGCTTCATTACACCTGACTGGCCCTACAGTAATCGGTACTTCTCCCTGAAGTGCCTGCATATGATCCCATACAGGCAATAAAAGGTTCACTTTAATCAATTGTTCTTCAGCCCTTTTAGAAATGAAGGCTCACTGGGACTTCTGAAAAAGCCTAAAGGAAGGTGAATGAGATCTAGGTATTCCTAGATACACACTCTCTTCTTATTAGAAAAGGATCTCTCCCTCCTCCTGCCCATAGCCTGTAAGTCAACATGAAACCATCTCAGAAGCGCAAAACTCCAGCTCACCTGTACTGGTGCTGCAACCCTGCCCTGAGGCTGAGTCTGTAACTGGGCCACTGAGATCTTCCACACATGAAGGGACTGATGCCAGTAAACCTAGAGAAACACAAGAAAATCATAGTTAAGAAACACTTAACTATGGTGGTGGGAGAAACCTTTCACATGGAGACATCTTACTGATGACCAACCAGCGCATCCATGTACCAAAGCAGGACGAATTCAGAGATGTGCTCACCCAGTGCTGGCCACAGACACAAATCCAGAAGTGTATTTATTTAACATTCTTTGCCTAGTTTTTTCCCCACAAAGTGAAGAATGGACCATTGGTGGCACAGGGATGGTGCTGTGCCATTACCAACTCTCAAAACTACTCAGTGGTATCTATTTTAAACCACTACCTTCCCTCCTAGCATTTTATTTCCTATTAAACAAACAGTCTTTTGCAATTATTGGTACTTACAGAGCCCTCTGTAGCGTGACAGCTGCTGGTAGATCTGCTTCATGCGCTCAATGTTCAGTCGACTGGTCTCTGCGTGGTTCACCATGGGTTTGGGGTAGTCCACCCCAATGATGCACTTGGCTGCCTTCTGCACAGACTCTGGGGCATTCCATGGTTCGTAGATGTAGCGTGAGGGGAAACCCTTTAGTTTCGGCAGATACCGCCTGCAACACAAGTAAAAAGACGCACAAGCATCACTTACAGTGCAGCAACACAGTATTCACAATGCACACAAAGTGCTTATACACCCGTCAATCACTGAACAACTTAGGCTCAGAGATCAAGCAACAGAGAAGCTCCAGACACATCACTCACTTAACGTAGTCACCACTGGGGTCTGTGCGACGTCCGAAGCCCACAGGGCAGTAGCAGTGGAAGAACTGTTGGAAGAACGCACTGCAGGAAAGCCACATCCAGCTGCCTGCATTCACACTGAAGTCTGCATCCAGCAACAGTTCATCAAATACCTGCAGCAAGGGGAAGAAAAGGCACTGAGAGCTTCCCCACACAGGACTTTGTGGCAGGGGGACCCAAGATGCCAATTCAGATGGCAGGTGCTGAGCTGTGAGCACAGCCCCTAGGAACCAGAGCAGCAGCTGAAGCCAGATGGCTGGTCAATAGATCTCACTTTATGATGCTCTCACATAGGGAGGTTCTGTCTGCTCACACCGATAAAGTGCTGCCTTATCTCTCATGCAGCTAGAGACTAAATCACTACCTAGTGTTGCAGCAAGCCGTGGGTATTGATCCTAACCTAGGAGGCATAACAAGTGCAAAGCACCAATCATGGGAAGCAGGCAGATGCTGCAAAGAACAAACACCAAAGCAAGAAGCCCTCTGAAGGTCACAGAGCACGCTGCCACTGAGAGGTGAACAGGTTTCAGCAGCAACTTACATCCATGCAGACACTGCACTTTTAGCATATGACCCTATGATGCACATTCTGCTACGTGCTCCTTTGTCACCTTTGTGACAAGACACCTCTCCCTCCACTTTGTGTAGGGCTGTATGTACACTGGATAGGTTCAAGCTGTCTGTCCCTTCAGATGGCCCAAGAGGAGGGTCTTTTACCTCTTTCCTTGAGAGACTCTACACTCAGATTTCACAGTCATGGAGCATTCCCTGACCGGCACGGTGATGGATTATACAATCCATTTCCATGAGGAAAAAAGTCCAGTCATAAAGTGACACTGAACTTGCAAAGAGAAGAGATGGATTGAGAGAACTTTTATAAATTAAAAGAATAACCTAAAAAGCCCCCAGGACCCCAGACCATATTTATCAGTGTGTCCCCGTAACATTCAGTTATGGTTACTGGAGACTCTTGATAGTGTCAGAGCCCCATGGTAGAAGGCAGAAAGAAGTCATGCAGTTGGCAGGCCAAAAGCCTCTTCCACACACAAAGCAAAAGCCATACCTGTGTACCCATCCTTGCAGAGAGTGCCAGGGAGACTTTGTTTTCCATATGGACTCCTGCAAGCCTCTGGAAATGTCAGACTCACCCTGACTCCTGACTCCCAGCTGATCCAGAGGTCGCCCCTGGTCAGGAAGCAGGCCACCGCATGCCTGGCCAGATGATGGATCCAACCTTCCTGTCTCAGTTGGGTCATGATTGCATCGATCCAAGGGAAGCCTGTCTTGCCCTCTGCCCACTTTGCCAAGGCTTCAGGATTCCTGTCCCAGGGGATTTGGATGCAGATGGGGTTCCCCTCCATGCGATCAAACTTTGGGTTGTTTGTGGCTGCTGTGTAGAAAAACTCCCTCCACAGCAGCTGTCCGTAGAGAGAGAGGGGTGGTGTGCTGTTCCGCTTCACCTGCGGAGCAGGGAACAAGGTATTCACAAGCAGGGGAGGACTGCCTTTAGTAAGTTGTAAAGTAAGCCACCCATGCATTGAAGTTGTAAGCCACTCACAGATTCATACGTAATTCCAAAGTCAGTTACTAGCAACTGCCATAAAGGAACTCAATTCCAGATCATCCTTTACGAGAAACCCCAGGTGGTAAAGTCAAGAGTACTGCTTTTAGCTCAGTACACTGACAAGTGACTTGGATGACACAAAACTAACAGGAAAAAGCTCTATTTGGCTCATGACACAAAAATCCAGACTGAAGAACAAAGTGCCAGGAGATTTAAGATCTGCTTGACTGTATACAGGAGAATCCCTTTTCCTCACACCCAAGTGCCTCCTCTTTAGTGTCAACAGTAGCCCAACAATCAAACACAAAGGAGGCAACAGCAGCTTCTGCAGCTGTTCTGGCACAGACTGGGAACCAGCACCATGCTACCTATGCTCACATCCAACCTGCTCTCCAGATGAACCTGTTGTCTTACCTTCTTATACAGCTCCCAGAGACGATAGTAAAACAAGCGGCACGACAAGCAGCCAAAACGCAGGTAGGGACTGAGGCCTGTCGGGCTGGCCAGCAAGGAATTGGCATTCATCCTTGGTCTTTCGTAATTTGCAACCCATGCCTAGACACAGTCAGGAGAAATAAGCCAAAAAATCCCACATTTTGGGGACATTGCTAAGGGCAGACCTCTGTGCAGGTGCTGAGGCCACTTAGGTCTGACAGCAAAGTTTCTTCTATTCTCCTCCAACCACTGCTGGGAGAGATGTCAAGTGGGTAGTCCCAAACCCTACAACCTTTTCAAGACATGCAAGACCTTTGCTCTAGGATCTAAACCAGTTACTTTGGCCAAGAAAAGGATTAAGCTTGCTTTGTATCCAGGAGCTAATAACCCTAAGAGCTCCTAGGGATACAAGCTAACACAGCTGTTTATGTTCAGGTACCTCTACCTTATTTTACACCTTAAAAATTCAGACCTTTTTGTGGAGCATGATGTTGACAGTTTATTCCCCTTTTAGCATAAGAATTCATACTCTGATTTCTACAACTGCTCCAAGTCACCCAACATTAAAAAGATACAAAATTCTTAAAATTGAGCTGGGTCATCTTTTCATTACTCTGAAACTGTTTGCCTTGTGTGTTATAATCAAGAACATGTGCCCCATAGAAAACACGTGAGTATTTCACCAAGGGGCTCAAGTAATGCCAGCCAGTGTGACAACACATTTAATAGGCTGATGTACAAGGGGAAGGCCTACTTTTATAAGCATGTACTTGCACTAATCCCTCAGCTACAGACAAAACAAGATGGTGTGTAGCAGTGACTGAGCAACTTACAAGAGTTTCCAAGTTTGCAGCCCTCTAAAGGAAACTGAGGGGCAGAAACAAGGAAAAAACCCTCTGTGCTTCAAACAGCAGCACAACTAATACACAAATGTACTTCTTTGGGTCAGAGGAAGCCTAGGAGCTACCTGATCCACACACCACAAGATCACAGGAGCGCTCCAAAAACACCAAACACTCCTCCCAGAGGTGAATGCTGTGACCATTGCTAGAAGAGCAGGGAAACCGAGTGATGACCAATGCTCAACATGTTTCATTTGGAGGCACAGGCTGCAGGAATTACCACTTAAATCACAGGGATTACCTTTCTTTCCAAGTGTTTATCCAGCCGTGCTAAGGCTTCTGTCTCCCCTCCTTGCCAAACCGCAGGGGCAAGACCATCCGTAGGAAAGCCTGACAGAAAGAACTTGGTAAGATTCAAAGCCATGCCTGACGTAGTGTATAGATGGAATTAAGCAATGATAACAGCAAGACAATACATACTGCAGTTGCCTAACATGGCTTGCCTGCTGCTGTAGTCCTTGTATAGCAGGCAAATCATATGGGTCGAGGAGAGAACCTGCTCAAGCCAGCACTCTCTGTGCTGTATCAGCACTTACCCACAGGGCTCTGCTCCAAAGGGCAGAGCAGCTGGCAAAGGAACACCTGATCCACAGCTCCGCCTTACAAAATACTTGCCATGGACACCAGCAACACACTAGGTAGTCTGGCTGCTCCCTGTGAGGCTTTTACTCTGCTGGACGCTGGTGCTAGGGAAGCCTGAGGAAGTGCTGAAGAACTGATGAAAAGGGAAAGCAATAATGCAGTTTCCTTGCACTGCTCTATGCTGAAAGAGGAGCCTCCCCTGGCAGCAAGCACAGCCATGTAAGGTTGCAGGCAGTCTCATGTTAGACCAGACAATAAAGGAAGCAGATCTACCCAGGACTGCAACCTTAGGATAACTCCTGTTGTGAAGCCCCTGCTTTCACATGACTGCTGAAACTGTGCCCTAAGGTACAAGGTGATACCTATAAAGGTGGTATGGAGCCTCCAGTCACACACATGCAGACAGTATTCTGCATTAATCTTTTCTTCCCTTGCATTTAGATTCCCTGACATAGGCTTGAATTCTTCATCCCTGGATCTCTATTCATCCTCCTCCAAGAAAGATACAGCATAAGGCACAGCAGGATGAATGAAAGAAGTTTCTGTCATAATCCTTTGTTTTGCTAAGCAACCAAATTGGTGCTGCCTGGCAATAACTAAATGAAATTATCTAAGCCTGGTACATAGTTAGTTTACATCTTCAGGTCTGTTACACAACGTGTCAGAGACAATAATAGGAGAAAAGCATCTGGAGAGGACATGAGACACTGGTACAGCAGTTACATGCTCAGTATAGCAGAGAACATAAGGACAGATACAGAGTGTTTCAAAGCAATGCTAAAGGGACAGCAGTCTGTCTTCATAAGGTCCAGTACTCATTAAGCTGCTTCTATGGCTACAGGCAGCCCAGGTCAGATGAGAACTCTGGAGCTGTCCTGGGCACAGAAATGGTTCCACTAGATCCCAGTTTCAGCAGGCAGTTAACCCTTGCCTTGCCTTCTGACACATACCCAGCTCTTCCAGGGATGGGACCCCATACACATCGTCATGGTTCTCCTGGATGTCCACTTTACATGTCTCCATCTGCTGGCTTATTACAGTGCTCACTGGCTTCTTCGGGAGCTCCATGCGGCTAATGATGGCCTGGAAACGCTTGTAGGTGAGCGGCGGCTTGTGGCCATTAAGCTCAATTATTCTGGAGACAAAATAAGCATTACAGCTTCATACCACAGAATACACAAGGAAATGGCAGCCAAACTCCATCCCACTTTCACTCTGGATACAGAAATCCTTATAGACCTACCTTCCACTCGATGCATCCCTCAAAGGGATACCAAAACCAACCAACAAAAACCTCAAAACACAGTAGAAAACAAATTCCCCATATTTTAATTCATCTCCATGGGAAAAAAAAACACCAAAACACCTCCAGCTAAATGAGGTTTAGCCTCTTATTTTTCTTCCAGAGCTCCTCATCAGACCCTTGTATGAAATCTCTGTCTGACTACTGTGTTTATCTCTCCCCCAGCAAATCCCAGACCTGCATCTGCTCCCCTGACACCTTGTGATGTCCTAACTTGATCCTGACCTTACTTCCCCCCATCTGACATGAGAAGTCCCAGCCTGTTTTAGCGACCCCTCCTTCCACCTCTGTCTGATGAGGCAAATCCCAGTTTGCGTCATTCCTCTCTCCCCTCTGTATCACCAGTGATTAAAGAAATCCTTCTCCACACCCGAAGGTCACGAGCAGACCTGGCTCTTGCTATTCCCCAGTGTCAGATCATGCTACTGGAAAAGACAGCCATAAATCCCCATTCCTCTATTTCACTAAGCATCTACAGCCTCCTAGTTCCATGCAGTTTCATTTATCCTGGGAAAGAGATCTTTGAGAAGCCCCCTGGGCCAGGTAAGTGAAAGACGTCCCTTTGAGCACGGTCTCCCGCAGGGAGAGGAAGGAGTTAACAGCAAAGCAGACAGCACAGGGCTCGCCAGCATTACATAAAGCCGAGACAGCCAAACCCACGGCTCACCCGGGAGCTGCAGCAGAGCAGCCTTCCCCACCCATCACAGTCAACAGCTTATGCAAGGGGCCGGGCTTAAAGCCGAGTGGTTCGGCAGACGCCATGTGCGCTCCCTGCCTCCCAGCACCGCACGTGTAGCGAGGAGGAGCGACATGCCGGGCCCGAGAGTACTGGCAGCCCGCCCCGGCGCCGATGGGGCCGCCGCCTCCGGGCGGCCGAGGGAAGGAAAAGGAGCCGGTGAACGGACAGCGCGGCTGCTAGCACTGAACGTGAACCTCCTGCAGCTCCATCCCATTTTCCTGCTTATAAATTGTAAACACCGGAACAAAAGGACGCAGAGGAAAAGGGCAATCAGGATGGTTACTGTCATCTTCACTGTGAGGGTGCTGAGGCGCTGGCACAGGGTGCCCAGAGAAGCTGTGGCTGCCCCATCCCTGGCAGTGTTCAAGGCCAGGTTGGACAGGGCTTGGAGCAACCCGGTCCAAGGTTGTCCCTGCGCATGGCAGGGGGTTGTAAGTGGGTGAGCTTTAAGGTCCTTCCAACGCAAACCAGTCTGTGATTCTATACCAGTCTATGATGTGCACTGTACAGTTTCAGTGCCAGGCTAGACAATCACAGTATGGGCACAGCACACTGTCTTCTGTACAAAGATTTGTCCAAGGAAGCCCCCGGTCAGCAGTCCTTTCCTTCCTCCTACTGTCCTTCTACTTCAGGCAGTACAATCTCACACGACTTTCCCTGATGGCAGAAAAAGGGATGTGCTTGCCCAGGATTTAATACTCCCATTTATCTGTCTCTCCCTGCGCAACCCACAGACTACACGTGGCAGTTATTTGGCTGGTTTTCCTGAAGCAGAACAGAGAAGACCAGAATCGCTGTCATACAGAACCTAACCTTTTTGGTTGGTAAGCATACATGAAACCATCTGTGCTACCAGACTAGCAATACACTGCCCAGCACTATCTGACGGTAGTGCCTTGATGCCTGAAGTTATGAGGGTCTTTCTGACTATCAGTCACACTTTACCTCAAGAAAGCAGGCAACCAAAATCTGACCAAACATAGTCTGGATTACAGGGTATCCTAAAGTCCTACCTGTGACAGCAGTGTTTGTGGAGCCTGAATGTGTACCCCCACAGGTGCCAGCTTCTAACTCTCATCTCCATGGCAGTGCCTCAGTGGAATTGCTATAGGGCTAGGGAAAGCTGCTTGCTTCAAAACCCTGACACCCGAGCTCGACTGCAAATGACAGGTCTGGGTTCTCGCAGGGGACTGAACGTGCCCCTCCCTGCTTCCCTGCACGAGGAAGAGCTGTCTGCCAGCACTCGGCTAGCAGGCTGCTCAACAACGCGCCCCACTACCAATTCACACAGCTTATGCAATTGCTCTGTCTAAATCCTTGTTCCAGAGAACTCGTGTAGGGCTACGTGTATATAAGACAAAAGGGGTAGTTCTACAGATTCAGAGAGGAGATGGAGAGATACCCAAGAGATATTCTATGCATGAGGTGCTGGGTAAAGAACAAACAACTCTACTTCAACAGCATCACATACATGAGCAGAGGAGAGATGAAATTACTTGATGCCAGGCTAAGTATCAGCACAGGGAAAAAACACCTGACACCAGATCACCATGCCAGACACATGAGGATAACAAGATCTGGCAGGCACAAGTTTGATTTAACATTCTTAGGTGGCAATAAACCAGTTTTTTGGCACAGTATAATTATGAACTGCAGAACCTCCAAGGTCTGCACACTTCTCCAGTTCCTTTAAATTACTACATACTCCTATTAAAATGTATGTAACTACCATTTAAGCCTTAGGCTAGAATATTTGAAGAAAAGCTGCTCCTGATGCCTGCTACAAACACACAAGCTCTCAGGGTTCCTTTTCTGCCCTAAACCTCTCCCCCTGAATAACCGAGGCCTGCCCAGGATTACAGAAACCACAGTGCTGACAGTCAGCAAGCAGACTACAGAGGATTTAGATCCTAAGGAGGAGAAAACAGGCAGATTCAGAGAAGAGACAAAAAAAACTGTCAGCTGGAAGTTGTCAGATAGAATGATTGTCAAGTAAAGGCTGTGAGCTTGGTAAACTGATAACGCAAGAGATTATTTTTCTTGTCTGATTTCTACAATCTGAACATCAATAATCTTGACTGGAAATGCCTAGATTTTCTTAGGAGTATTTTTCAGCACTGATGCTGATTTTCTATATCCCTCTTGTTCGGGTGAAGAGGAGGGGAAAGATGCTCTGATTATCACACAGCTATGCTGGCAGTGCAACAAGGAGCATATTGTAATCTTCCTACTTTCTTTCCTGGGTAAAACTGGTCAAATTCACAACTTAACTGAACAGGCTGTTTGTTTAAAAGGAGCTGGTACTGGGAATACACTGCAGGGGACAAGAGAAGGACTGCTGGGATCATTTATGTCAAAGTGAAAGATGAGTCTAAATTGTTTAAAACCAGATCTGAAAATCTTATGGGAAACTTGATCAAAGAAAGATGAAGAAGGATGCTAGCACCAGGTTACTAATTATGCAGGAAAAAAAAGTAGGGTGTGCAGAGGGACAACACATACCATGAGTTAGAAGGATTGGAGGGTGATATACCCTGCAAGAGGCTTCCAGGGGAAATACAATATTAGAACTGTATTACCACCTGCTGGGAAATCTCATGAGATGCCAAGAACCAGGAAATGTCAGAGTTAACTGGAGACTTCAACTGCCTCTGCACAGGCTGGGTAGCTGTCACACCCCACCACCTGCCCAAAACCAGGGAACAACTGGTTAAGAACCCACAGGGAAAGGCAATTCATGATTTGGTCTTGGGCAGTGCTAAAGTATAATTGAAAATGGTAGTTATCACCTGCCTGTTCTATCTGTGACTGCAGCTTGTATCAATAAAACAGCCTTCCAGGAGCAGCAATGACTTTGAATTCGAGAAATGCATAAAAATGAGGCAGGCTGCTAAGCAAAAAGAAGCAGCTGAGACGTAAAACGCCGACAGGCAACACGAAGATGGTTTGAGGATGATGTTAGGGGGAAAAATATTCAACAATTGCACACAAAAAGATTTCAGATCACAAGATTCAAAACAATTAGAGAACAGCATCAGCAAAGATAATAGAAGGTAAAAATCCTTCAGAAAAATGAAGGCCAGATAAAGATAGACAAACCCCAAGCTTTGGTATGTTAAATTAAAATCCACAAAAGCAGCTTCTTTCCACCTCCCAACTCACAGCAAAGTGTGAGAAACCGTTTAAAAAAAGCCTAAGTAGTTAAAAAATAAAATCCCTTTCCAGACACTCCGGATATTTATAGGGCCAAGAGAAGATCAAGTCATAAAAAAAAAAAGGCAGTCTCTGTAACAGCACATCAAAAAAACCTGCATATATTTTTACATGTCTATTCATTATGGACATATTCAGGGAGGTTACAACTGAATCTTTTAAAGGAAAATTTATCAGGAGATGTCACAGACTGGTAGGCTTGGAAGAAATTAATTCTATGAGAAAAAGGATTCTATGATTCTATTCTAAATGCTACAAAGCAAAGCTATGCTTGAACAGCAACAGATTGCCAGGAGCAGCAAGCATTCACCCAGGAGCTGTAAAGGACATCAAGAAATACCTAAGCTAATAGCTGCTGCATGGAACGCTTGCCTTAGAACTGAATACAACAAGGAAAAAAGAAGAGCAAATATGACTCCAGATTTAAAACGCATCTCCAGGCACCAGAGGGATGACACAATAGAGATTCTCGTATGTGCATTAGGCAGAGGGGTAGAAAATACTAATGGAAACACTGAATGCATGGGTATATGCAATATGCTGGAGGGTTAATTTGGCCTTGATAAAAGAAGTTGTGCCTCAAAATTTGGTAGTGACATTTGAGCTTGGGGCAAGGCAGATTCAGCTGATACCCTCTACTTGAATTTTCAGAAACCATCTGACTAGATCCCTCATTGAAAATTATTAAAGAAACCCTAATAAATAGGGATAAAGCAAAAGGTCCCTGCAGACAGGAAATTCTTTGAGATACGGAAGGAGAAACCCTACACAGAGCTGAGCAGGTGCTTGTGCTGCCCAACATTATTCATAAAATAGCTGTGAAGGGACAAAAAAAGAGGCGGCTGATAAAGTTTACTGACGCAATAAGCTATCTTGCATAGCTAAAGATGAACACTGCATGACCAGCTCTCAAAAATATCAGATGAAATGCACTGTTGGTCATGTTGTTTCTCCATATGCACAGCTATGCAATCTCAAATAGCTACGCCTATTCTGGAAGGAAGCCCTGAGACAACAGTTTAGTTTTAACAGCACTCAGAAAAAAGATAAAGAATGCTGGTGACTATTAGGAGAAGACAGAAAACATTACAGGACTATAAAAATCCATGCTGCTCCTGCAGTTTGAATGCTAGCTCCTCTCCAGCTCTAGAAATACCCAGATGTATGAAGGTGACAAAACTTAGAAGAGATACGGAAGATTTTTTAGAATAGAAATTCCACCTGAAAACTTAAGTAAACTAGGATAAACCACGTTGGAAAAGACAAAGATGACATGAGGAAGTATGTGAGGGGCATTGACACTGAAGAGGTGAGGATGCAATAAGCATTCAAGAGGTCTCTTCCAAGGCAAAATGAGAAAGCAGTGTCTGTTCATGAGACAGGATCAAGAAGAATCCCCCACACTCCAAAGACAAGCATTTCCACACAGCATATGCTAACTGCAAAGCTCCTTCCCATGGGAAATTGGGGATGTTAAAAGAGGAAACCTATATTCAGCATTACTGACAAAAATCATATGCCTCCCCCCCTCCAAAAAAAAGGCAAAAAACCTGTAAGAACAGTACTGAAACATGGCTGAAGTTAAGCGTACATTAGTCTTAGCTGAAAGACTGTTCACTCTTTAAGGAGATCACAGATACATGGAGATTGTATTTTATATGAGTAAATATATAAAGCTCAACATAAAGGCAAGGCTCCCCCACAGCAGATACACAACAAAGACAAGACATTCATGTTTTAAAATATGGTAAGTTTGCCCCAGTCTACCTTGTTCTATTCCTTCCAGCTGTCCTGGCATGTCCATCAGTTAAAAGCCCTGCTTTCATAACCTGTTTGAGACAAAAGCTCAACTATCTTTAACAAAAGATAGGAAAAACCAGCAGTCCACACAGTGAGGACATGCTCAAGGGGAGCCATCAACAGGACACAACTTAAATGCCTGTTAAGTAGAGAGTTTAATAAGCTTGAGGCAACACCATCCTGTATATTCACGTCACTGCCAGCATTTTAACGTGCTCTAATCAAAAGCGCAAGTGCGCAGAGTAATCCTGTTGACACCTTCTAGGTTCACACAGGGTGACAGAGATCAACATGGATAATGAAAAGACTGGTCTTCACAGATGTGACAATCCCAGCCTAGCCCAGACAGCACCTCTGCCCTTGCTCTCCCTTTACCTGTCCAAGTCATAGAGGGTGTGGGAGTTCTCTATCACCACCTCCACGCCAGCCTCCTTGGCCAGTTTGATGATAGCTGCATCTCTCTCCTTACCGAACGGCTCCGAGTCATATTCAAAGGTGAGACGAGTGACTCCCCATTCCTGCAAGAAACACAAGGCACAGAGCTGACAAACAAGACTCTTTGTGACCAGCACAATTACAAATGAGGGTTTCAGAGTTCCTGGACAGTCTGGAAGCTTAGAGAAGGTTCCTGTGATGACCAGCGATCTGGAGTTGAGATAACCAAAGAGTCAACAATTTTATCAGCTCTAGTAAGCACCACATCAGCCATGCAAATTCCTACCTCAGGTGTAAGACACCTAAAGGAGGTTCAAGTTCTTCTCTATTAATATTCTTAGGTTACAGCTCAGTCCCCAAACCTAACACCACCTATTTTGTTACACATGCTGTCCAAAAGTAACCCTACTATTAGATTCAAGCACTTGCAGAGAAGGCCTTTCAGAGAACAAGTTCCACTCAAAACCCCATATTTTTATGTGGAAACTTTCATTAAATGAAACCAGTACACTCTAAATTTTTTCCAATGTCTCTTTAAAGCAATCATATAGTAGAGGACCAATGTCCAACCCAAACAGCAAAAAACAAAGGTACTGGCAAACACAGGGCACAGGATGGCAACTGAGTGAACCTTTCTGGTCATCACGGTAGAGTATGATAATGTAATTCAGACTTATATTCAAGTTCTGCCTTTGTGGGGTTATTTTACCCTAGCCAAGCCATGCACCTATCCTGTATCTTCATGCCTTTAGCAGATCTCTCACAGATTACATGGAACAAGCCTTACAAAATAGCATTCAGGCTTTTCCAGAGCACAGTTTGCTCTCAAGGACTATGGCCTAGTTTTTCTCAGAAAATGAATCCTATGAGAAGAGGTTTAATGGTTTCCACAGCGACCCTCCTGAGACATCCATCAAGCGGAGCAGCAGCCCACAGATCTGTTTAGCAAACACTTTAGTCAAACACATCCAGAAATCTACAGAGACACTTAAAAAACCCCTCACAAAACCAAGTTCCGAACAACATTCTCCAAGTGAGACAGTCTAAGTTACCTCTATATATACAGGACAGCCTTTTCCACTTTGGAACCAGACACAAAACACAAAGAACAGATGTGATTAGCTCACTAAAGACCATTGAAAAATAATGCCAAGGACAGGGAAGGGAATTTGGAAGCAGACAACTGTACAAATTCCCTTCTTTTCTAAGCTTTCAGATTCAATCCTTAATATTAGGAAGGACAGAGAACTGAACCAGTTATGTACTGAATGTACATCTCAAGAGAGGTCCTCCACTCCTTTTTCAAACTAAGAGCATGACACCATCCATAACTTGAAGCAGGGGTCAAACAGACACTTTCCAGGCCCTGCCCTGCTCCTATGTGATTTAACAGCTTCATTTTAGACTTTTCTTTCTTTTATAAGAAAGACAGTATCAGCTGGAAAGCTTGGAAAAGTTGGCTTTGGTCTTGGAAGAAACACACATTACTGTCTTGAAAGAAAGGAACAGAATAAAAAAGGCCCCAGCCATTTAAGGCTAGCAGAGATTTTAGGTAAGAATACAAAACTTCAAATTCAGGTATTTCCCACACTTCAGAGAAGCCCACCACTCTGTGTGACAGCACAGCAAACCATGCAAAAAACAGTAAGCTGTATGACAGTAAATTGCTGCAGATATACAAAAGAACAACCATGACTGACTTGTCTGTTAGTATCTAGCCTATAGCAAAGCAAAACTGTAGAGAAAGAAACACCCACCAAAGGGACTGTGAGCAAACTTTAGGGAACAAATGACTCTTTCTTTGATAGAAGAGGTAAAATTACAGATGTTTTTTCAGAGGCAGGGAGACAAAAAGCCTCTACAAAAGTTAAGACAGAGGTAACAAGTACAATTCTCATGGTATCCACATACAGAAGTGCCTTTGCAGCAACTGCTATTGCCAACATAGCTGAAGCTACTGGCAGGAAGAGCAGAAACTATAATAGGTCTAAGTGTTGCATTACCACACGTGACATAACTCTCCTCACCAAAACAGCTGACAGCAAGACATGAGCTGCTGCTAATTCACTGTTCAGTGCAGCAGCTCTGAAGAGGCTTGAATCCCCATGAAAGCCATACTTTTCCCACATAATAGCATAACACCTTCACACCCCCCTTTTCTCTGTTACAGCACATCCAAGGTATTCATTAACTCACTTGCCCCAGAAGACAGACTGCATCAAAAAGCAAGTCTGGTGGATTCCACAAACATCTCTCCAAACCTCTGATTCTGCCAACTACTTTTTGTTCTTTGACCAAAGTGAGCCTTTTTCTCCATCAAAGTTTTAATTATCCTGTGAATACCTTAAACTAATATAAGGGGAGCATGAACTGCTACTGGCCAGAACTTATTTGCAGATCAAAAAGCAACCCAGCCACTGAAAACGCTAAAAGCAGCACACAGTTTGTGTCATGTGTTAAGATGCAAAGGCAAAATAAGTATCAGCGCCCCTTCTGACCTGCTCAGTCCGATTCCCCTCCCCAGTACTGCCCTCCTCCCAGAAACACACATCACAACCATTCACAGTCAGAGGTTATACATTTAAGTTTACGTCTCCTTCTCAGCAGCTGGTCTACAGCAGCTGACACTAGTTTTGGTGACACTAGTTCTGTCAACCATATGTAAGGTACAGTCCACATGACAAACCCAAATCATAAGACACTTATGAACTGTTTTAGCTTTGTCGCTCTAGTAAAGATGCTGTCAAAAAGGTTCAAAGACAACGGAAAGTTCAGTCTTAGAGCAGGACAGAGAAAAATGATACTGCGTGAGGAACCTTAATATTCAAGGAGATGCTCTGGCCAGCCTTGTCTCTCACAATCTGCAGCACTGACACTTCAGAAATGTATCCCACTAATACATTAATGACCACTGAATTCACTGCATATTCCATTGTCCTAAATGGTACATCAGCAGGGAGCCTGGACCCAAGCTGTATTTTGCTGCAGTGCTGACCAGACTGCCGCCTTGAACAGAAGAAGAAAAGGAAGTCAGCTAACATAAAAGCTTCTGAATTTTTAAATTTTAACACAAAGCCCTATTTGTAGCTCACATACAGATCAATATATTTTTTTGGTTGTCCGTAAAGGTGTGTTGTCACAGCAGTCTTCACAGAGTAAGAGCTGCAGAAGAAAATACTGAGTACAAAAGAACCTCTCAACATAGAGGAGTGCAGCCCTGTGAGACCTGACATACAAAGATGAAGATCACCATCCAAAAAGACAAGCTCAAGCATGCTAGTATTAGGTTATACTCTACTACTAAATTTCTTTGCAAGTCTGAGTTCAAGAGCATATCTGGCTCCCAAGCCTGACCCTTATGCTAGTTGTAGATAATTGTAGTTAAAGAGATTTGTTACAGTGAAGATGTGTTATAGTTAAGAATTAGTTACAGTCAAAGAGAAGCTGAGGAGATCTCCAACAGCTAGCAAAACATTAGAGTGAAAACAAAGATAGCACCAGGACGTAAGTTTTTCTTCATTATGCTCCAGAAAATTATTCTCTTACTTTAAAGAGTCTTGGGAAGACATCTGTTGGCTGCCCTCGCACAACAAACAAGCGAGAGTTGAGTTTCCTTAAACTGTTGTCCAGATCTTCCAGAGACTGGAGCAGAAATCTGCAGAGGAGAAACAAGAGCAGTCAGTGTAAAGACAACAGAGGAAAATCTGCATGGAACTCCAGCAAATCTGTATCACCAATCAAACAGGAAGTTAGGACAAGAAACAGAAAACAACAATTCATATTCATCCCGGTGTCTACTGACTGCTGTGAGACTGCAGCATCAGCCAGCTCCCAGCCATTCATGTGCATGTTCTACTTGTACAGGTGCGGATTTCCTTTTTCCTGCAATCCCCTTCCCATGTTCTCTCTCAGAGCTGGCAGCACCTCCCACCAGCCACTCTTCCCACATAATGAGATGGCAAAAAGCATAAACCATATAATTACCTACAGTATTTTCTCTCACTGATTCTGTTCTGGGGCGGGAGCGATTTTGCTCAAGAAGTAGATGTCGATACACTACTGCTCCAAAAAGTAATGAATTACTATAAGAACTGTGCAAGTGTTACAGTTCTCACTACAAATACACAATGCCACAGCAGAAAAATGCACGCTCCTGGCCCATCAGTAGCACAAGACTGAGCATCAGGATATCCCAAGGCAAGATTTATCTGTACTTAGAATTGCTGCAAACAGAACTGCATTTTGTCTTCCACCATGAAGACATAAAGATGAGAGCGCATGCAAAAATACCAATCTATCCCCTTCCCCCTCCCCCCCCCAAACTGTAAAAAAGCATTTAAGTGATTTTTGCATTTAATGGTGTCTCCCACTATGCTATAAAACATCAAATGTGTAATCATTGCTTTTACAGTCACGTCACCGGTTCTACACCATAAGGTCACTTTGTTTTGCCTAATGCTGCAACAGACACCAGCTCTAAAACTTCAGTCTCTGTGACAGCACGTGGCACTGCTGGCAAACTCACAACCCTCTGTGAGCTGCCAACCTCCACCTCCTCCCCCTATTCCATGCCCACTCTGCAGCGTGACCTGCAAGACATGAGTATCTGCATCAGCTCCCTTAAGACCACACGCAGCTCAGGGAAGCTAAGCTACAACTGCCCTGCAAAGTAGATTCTTTCTCTCTCCTCAGCTGCATGGCCCGTAACATAAAATGCAAGCTTTGCGATAGAACAAGCTCCCTCTCCACGTCCTGAGGGAGAAAAGGATGTGGGGCTCATGAAAAGAAGGGCCAACTGTAACAGTACAGAAGACTCAGAACCACTTCTGGGTAACCTAAACAAACCACCCCTACCCTCAGCCCACTTTCCATCTATTAAATAGGAATAGCAACTTTCCAAGGTGTTCTAAAAATTAAACAAGGGTTCATCCTATATGAATAAATAATAAGGGAATTTCAACGTTTCTGGGAGCTGGGTAAAACACCAACTGTTACTTTAGGTGCATGGACCTCTGAATGCAAGGAACTGCATTAAATAAATAAATAGAGAAACAAAGCCAAAGCTCTCAATGGGAACCAGTGGCAGTCCAGTAAATATAAGTAACTTGGCAATGTTTTTGCCTAAAGCCAGTGGTGCTAATTTCTGACATCTGCAGCAGGCACACTTCCAAGAAAACCTTATTCTTAAAAACTTCATCTGCTCACCTGTTCCATGACTACAACATAAATAAGATCTGCTTCCCTTCCTACGGAATGTTGGTGGAAACAAACAAGGATTAAATGGATCAGGAATTAATCTTCTGGGGGCACTGCTTTGGTTGTTCCAAATGATGGCAGTTACCAACAGCAGCAGCACTTGAGAGGCTCTGTCTGCTGCTGCCTTTAGAAAGTCTGGTCTGTGCAAAAATCACTTCATGCTCCCAGCATATTAAGCTGTAAGAGAATCCAGAGTTTTCTGTAATGTGAACATCTACACTGTGGTCATTTCAGCACATTTACAGTTTTTAAGCCATCCTCTGATGAGGGTTCTAGAAATGCTTAAATCACCCTCACTACCTCATTCCTTATAGTAAAACTGTGGTGCACAGCAGAGGCAGTCAGTTACAACTAGAGTTTCCCTAACGCCCTGCCACCGTGACATTTCAAAGAGCACTTGGAGCCAGGTGGCTGTCCTGTCCGCTACCCCTGATTGGGGCAGGAGAGGGCAGCGGGAGATCCTGCTTCGTTTGTATGCAGGGAAGCCTTACAGAGGAAAATCCCTTCCTGGATTGGGTTTCCAAACATTTAGACAGCTGAGATTTGGCACAACAGCATTATGTAATGCGACTAGCTCCCGGTACACGAGGTTTTGCTCTGCACAGACGTGACTCAAGTACTAACAGCTTCATGGCCATTTCCCCAGCAGCAGCCAAAGTGTAGTCCCATAAAAAGCCCAAAGAGGGACTGAAGGAAGGCAGGAGTGCACACATGCCTGTGTGCGCTCAGCAGCCAAAGGGGCAGATAAAAGGCGTGGGGCTGTCACGCAGCTCTGAGGATCCTTTGCGCTTGTTTTTAAATTCAGGAAAAAGCATTTTCTAAAGCTAAGCCGCCATCGGCTGCAGAATGGTTTGTGTTGGAAGGGACCTTAAAGCTCATCCAGTTCTAGCCCCTTGCCACAGGCAGGGACACCTTCCACTAGACCAGGTCGCTCCAAGCCCATCCAGCCTGGCCTTGAGCACTGCCAGGGATGGGGCAGCCACAGCTTCTCTGGGCAGCCTGTGCCAGCGCCTCAGCACCCTCATAGGGCAGCAATACACGGACCGGCCAGGGCGAGGCTCCCGCTGCGGCCTCACCGACACGGCCCACACCCCTGAAAGCGCCCCGTCAGCCGCGGGAGCCCTCCCCACCGCCGGTCCCGCCCGCACCCAGCCCCTCACATCCCGTTCCCCTCAGCCCCCACCGGCGGCCTGAGGGCCCGGAGCCACCTCAGCCCACTCACCGCCAGCGGTTGATGCCCACAGCGGAGGAGGCGGCGAACCACGGGTCCAGGATGTAGATGCAGCGGAGGGACGCGGCGTCCCGCAGCGCTTCCTGCAGCGCAGGGTTGTCGTGCAGCCGCAGCCCGCGGCGGAACCAATGCACCGAGCGGCACCGGGCTGGACCCGGGCCCAGCTCGGCCGCCGCCATCGCCGTTGCCGACTGCAGCCGCTGCCGCCCGCGGCCGCCCGCGTCCACTCCGCCCCTGAGCGTACGCCAGCTCAGCCAATCAGCGCGAAGGGGCGGGACGGGCAGAGGCGTAAAGGGACTTTGCCGCCCCCCAGCGGCCGCGCTTCTCGTGTCCCCCTCCCCATGGCGACAGAAGCTCAACCTTGTCTCCCAGCACTCATCAGCTCCAGAGACCTCCGGCTTTATTAGGCAGGTTTGGCCGGTACAACAGTGAAAATGTCCGCTCCCATTAAAAAAACTAATATATCAAGGACTTTTAACCAGGGGAAGCCCAGGTTAGATGTCAGGAACAAGTTATTTACTGTGAGGGTGGTGATGGACTGGCACAGGTTGCCCATAGAAGTGGTAAATGCTCCATCCTTGGGCAGTGTTCAAGGCCAGGCTGGACAGAGCCTTAGGTGACAGGGTCTAGTGTGAGGCACCCCTGCTCATGGCAGGGGGTTGGAAGTGCATGATCTAAGGTCCTTTCTAACCCCAAACATTCTGTGAGTCTATGACTCCAAATGGTAGCCTGCATTGAAAAGGAGATGGTACCTGTTGTCATGAAATCTGGAGCAGGAGGCCACCAGAATTAGACAAGAACATATTCTGTGCAGAATCGGAGTGTTGTTCTGTAGGAGTGGTCAGACATCACATGCAAGGTATGGTATGTCATGTCACATAGGATCCACCAGATAGAGTACGAAGCAGTCACATCAACCACCCAGGATCGATACCCAAATAACCCTTTAAATATAAAGGGGTTTAAAAAGTTGGTGCAACAGTACAGAATGTTGCTGCTGACCCGTTATCAGAAATCACAACACAGTATAACCTCAAGTGGCATTTGCACGAGACCAGATGCAGGGCAGAGATTTCTACAGAAGTACGTGTTCGGCAGCAAGTTTCAGGTAAAGGGAGTAATGCAGCTGAGCAGAAGATGTTACAGCTGAAGGATTCACTGAACTGGCCACAGCAGGGTGTTTAAAAGGAACAGAGAAGACAAACTGCAAACACCAGAGGAAACTCAAAGTAGATATGGACAAATTCCCCCAAACAAACCTAGTAACCGCATTTTCAAACACAAACCTACCCCCTACACATTAAAAAGGACAAGTTCCGTGAACCCCATTAACTGGGATCCCCACTCCACAGAAGCAAGTGCTTCATAGTGACTTTCCCCACCTCTTGCTGGGCACTGGAAGAGGCAGAGTCCAAGCTTGCTCCTCCCTGAGAAAGGCCACTAAAGACGGCATGCTCTCCCTTCATGGGACATGGTGCAAAGAGAATGAGAAGTTCCATTCCTGATTCTCAGCATGATTTCCTGAACTAAGAAACCAGGTGGAATGAAACGCAGAAGACACCTCAGCAGGATGTGCTACCAACTCTTTGAAAAGGAGATTTGGAGGCACTGCTGCTGCTTGGGCTTGTACAGAACCAGAAGGGAGGGAATTTCCCATCCCTTGCACTGAATGGGGCAACAAGAAGAACGACTGTTGCCAATCCTTTTACAGCAGAACAGATTACTGGAGTCTACCCACAACAGCCTGGCTATCTGCCTCTTCCTTAGGTGGAGCTTCAGGATTTTATAGCTTCAGACTGCATTCATTCAATTAATTCTAAAATCCCAAGTACACAAAGCTCCCATCTGAGCTTCTGTTACAAGCCCACCCTCCCCCAGAGATGCAAATTGCCCAGAGTAGGTCAATAGCAACATCGATTTTAGAAAACGATCACAAAAAAAGATTGCTGTCTACAACACATGCTCTCGCCAACTCTGACACAGGGTGAGATCCCACGGATAAAACTTGATCCAGTCAGGTCTTTGGCTCTGGTTCCTGACACAGTTCCCTGTACACTCGGCAGGTCATTTTTCTTCCTGCTTCTTGCTCTTCTCCCCAGGAGGAAAGGACCACCAAAGGGTAACCTTCCGGGCACAGAAATGGAGGTGCAGGAGCTGCCTACACACCAGTCTCATTTCTTTCACCGTTTTTGACGTTAGGATCTTCTTGTACCTTTCTCATCTCCAGCCCTTTCACCCAGGTGTAGGCAAAGGAGCCCCCCAGAACCATTAAGTTACTCGTCCACCACAAGAAGCTCTTTGTTTCCTCAAAGTAAATTACAGCCAGCACTGTTTGGGCACAGGCCTTGGCTGTTCCAGACACATTGTGGGTGAGTGGGCTCGTGAACTTAATCTGAAGTCCAGTCACATAACCAATAGCAAAGCCAAATACTCCCCCCAGGATCATCATTCCCCAAAAACTGGGGCTCCCCAGCTTGTCAAAGTGGTAGAGGGTGCGAAACTCTCCCAGTAGCAACATGAGGGGGAAGAACAGGACGCAAGCGTTGACATTGTTGTAGAAGGTCAGGCGCCAGATGCTACCATCCACCACAGGCAGCACCTTCTTGGTGTAGATGGCATTGAGTGAGACACACAGGCTTGCCAAGATCCCAAAGAATATACCTGTCCATGACAGAGTGCCCTCTGCTCCTTCCTGGTCAACACCCAGCCAGAAGCCACCTGCAACCAAAAAATATGAATAATCAGGCACCACCTGAACTACTGCTGAAGGACTCAAAACACAGTCAGCAATGCATCACCTACCTTACACTGAACAACCACAACCACAAGCAGAGACAGGCTTAAGGGTTTCCCCTTTCTATAAAGCGAACCCACAAGGTGTCATAACTAGTGTCCTGGGAAGATTTATTTTGGGAGCATGATTTATTTTGGGTAATTTACTGTGCTATCATTCAGTCTCAGAGGACTGATTCCCACACTGAGCAGGCAGCATGAATTTAGCAGCTATTATTCCAAAGAGCCAGGAATTAAAGCTACTCTCAGGCTATCGGTAATTTTTAGGAGATTTTTTTTTAATTGAAAAGGCAGCACACTGACACATAGCAAAAAATAATCCTCAAGGTTTAAGAAAAAAAGGCCTCACAGGCTTTGCTGTTAACAGGAAGGAAAAGATAGGTCAGAAAAGACCATGGAAAGATAGTAAACACACAGATGTAATACTAAGAAGCTCGATAAAAAAAAAAGATCACAAGGGAGAAACTGAGTGCAGTGTCTTCAACACATTAAACTTTGATGGGTAATGCACTCTTTAACCACCTCCAGAACAGGAGCTACAGGCTTTGCATCTTCAGGACAGAGGAGACCCAATCCAGATCATAAGCAAAACTTAAAAAGGGAGATGAACTACTGAAGGAGCACAGCACTGCCTTTCCATTAGCTGCTTCGTGTTGGAGGCCATCTGTGAAGTTGCCTGCAAAGTAGCTAAAGTGCTTTAAACCAAGCCCAACTACAATGGGTTCAATGCACAGACAAGAAAGGCTTTGTGTCAGGCCACAGAGGATACTTGGCTGTGCTGTCACAGGCATATAGGCAATGCTCTCCTTGCAAAAGATGGAGCCAGGGGTCAAAGTCTTGGAGAAACCCCATAAGGCTGGCAGACACCATAGTCCTGGGCAATACCTGAACACAAAACTAGCTGGAGTCAATTGCTGGCATCACTTGGATGAACCTCTTTTATGAAGAGGAGATTCTCTTGTCTCATTTCCATCCAAGTCCATCTGCTTGTCTAAGTACCAAAGTGAACACATGTCCACCTGGACTGAAGCCAACATTTCACCATTCTTGGCATCTAAATGACCCTCCGATGGAAAGCAGCTTTTGGCATTACCGATGCCTCTGGAACAAAACACTCTGAAGCAGTTCCCATTAAGCCAGTCCATGCCCCACCCAACACCCTAACCACACAACCAGATCTTCTGGTGGTATTTTATGCTTGGCTTGATCGGGTAACCTTTATCACAACGCATTCAGCCTGTTTGAACTGGGTGGCTCCATTGTATTGTTCTGGTGGCACCCACTGATTGTTACAGAAATTAACAAACAAGCACTTGAGAACACGGAGAAATGCACCTGCTGTTTTATGGCCTTTGGAGGAGCCGTGGGGAAGGGAAGGCAAGTTAAAATTAACTGGAGACCAGACAGGTTTTAGTGCTCAAAGGAAAAAGGGAGCCATGGTCAAAGGAAGAGTAATTCCCTTTCTTTATGGGTTACCTAGCTGTTCCACACATGCAAACTGGGTTGCCAGAGGCAGTGCAAAGAACAAGCCCTGAGCTATCCCACCTCAGGGAGCTGCCCTGCAGGGCAGGATGCCTTCCCAAGGGGAAGACACTCCACTTCCATCTGAGCCTATGAGGCCACAGCAGTGTGGGTGCAGCCCCCTCCCGCTCCCCCTCACCTATGATGACTCCGCAGGCCAGGAGGGCGTAGAGGGAGGTGGTCTGCTTGAGGAGCAGGTAGGAGAGCAGCACGTTGAAGACGGTGGTGAGGGAGCGCCCCACGTTGTAGAACGCCACACCGACATGCTTGAGGCAGAGGTTGTTGGAGGTGACCATGCCGATGAAGACGATGGAGAGGGGCAGCACGCTGCGGGACACCTTGGGGTCAAGGCGGAGGGTGGGCAGGCCCGGGCAGAGGGGCCCGCAGGCCGCCCCCAGGCTGAGGCCCAAGCAGAGGGCGGCCGTGAGGGCGCACTGGAAGAAGGTGACAAAGAGGGGCGCGTCGAGGCGCAGCGAGGGGCTGTCCAGCAGGTACTTGTTGAGGAACACCATGGCGATGGAGGTGAACCAGTACAGGCACACCACCACGGCGATACGCAGGGCCCGCAGCAGGAACGGCGCCCGCAGGCCCTCGGCGTCCTCCTCCGCCGGCAGCAGCGGGTCGGCGCCTCCGCCACCGCCGCCCAGCGCCATCCGCAGGATCCCCGTCCGCGTCCTGGGCATGGCGGGCGCGGGTCGTCAGTGACGGCCCAGGGCCCTCCGCCACCAGCCCCGCTCACCCGGCACCGCCGCCGGCCCCGCGCTTCCCGGAGCGCCGCGGCCCCGCCCGCCGCCCTTTATTCACGCCCCGCGGGCTCCGCTCCGCGCCTGCCCGCCCGCGTCGCCACGTCGGGGGCGGGCCCGGCCCGGCCCCACAGCCCCGCCCCACCCCGGGCCC